AATAAAATAAGAGGTTGGATTGTTATATTATTTTTATAGTGAGAAATCATCAATATAAAAATGAAAAAGAAATGTATTTAAGGCTATTTTGCATTCCTCACCACTTTGTGCTGAAACCTAAAATGACTGATCATGGAGAAAAATAATGTATATACAGACATAAAATCAATTGCTATTTATTCATGAGATTTTCTTCATGTCAGTCATTAATTATGTTAAATGATTGCTATAATAAAATGGAGGTGGTTATAATTTAAAATATTGTGAGATTAGTTATTAGTAAAATATTGAATCAATATTATAAAGAGAGAATATTAATTCACTGGTTGCTTTTTTAATACATTGTGTAGAACTTTGACAAACTGTTAATTTGTGCGAGAGTTGCTTCAAGTTAGTCTAGGTAGGACTTATAACCAAAATATGTTTTACTAATGCTGTAGGAATCCTGGCTGTAATTATAACAATTTCATTCACTGGCCTGTCCTAAAGGTCTGCATAATACCATAGTGTACTGGAAAAAGAAATATTCAAAGAAAAAATATTTTTTTAAGGGTTTGGTCTAAAATAAAAATACAAGTACAGAATCTTATTTACATTAAGAAAATATGGGCCAACACTTGTTAATGTATTTGGTATTTTAAAAAATATCGACAAATTTTAGCAAGTTAATATGGTATGAAATACTAAATATAAATCATGGAATGTTTGATGGATTTTGATTGAAATGGAAATTATTTTATTTGTAAGCAAATTGTTTTGTAACATTTAGCACTGTATGTATAATTAAAAAGAAGTCAATAAATATTATTTTGAAGAATTATTTAGATTATGATGAATTAATGTTGTCTAGTTAAATGTACAGTACAAGTTTTAAGTGATTAACAGACTCCTATAAGCATTAACTATTGCACAAAGTCTTATTGCACTAAAATTGCAGGCATTTGAAGCTTTTTCTTTGTTATCATTTAGTTTCACAAAGACATATAATGGGATTACTTTAGGCAGAACCACCCACATGAAATCTAGTAGGAGTAGAATCAAGATACCAGCCATGCTACAATTTGCAGTCTTTGGAATCTACCCTTAGGCATCTTAAGAGGGTCATCAGATTTTGATGAGCCTGTAGTGAAACATAAGATTTCTGTTCTTTCTTCAGTCTGTTAACTTGTGGGCATTCAGAGTCTTTGCATAAGGAAATCTTTGCATATTATGCTAATGAAATATGAAAAGTAAAAATTTGGCATAGGATTTTGTTCCACTAAATGTGTTAATTTTGATATATTTATTGGAAGTGCAATTATTTGTGGCCAACAGTTCTCTTCCTGTATTCATATTACTTATTGTACTGTTATTTTAAAGGTTGATTATTTTTATATGTTGTTGCATTCCTATTGTTCTATTTAGGGCTTTTTAAAACCTCAAACTAATGCTGAGTGGGCCATGGAATTCTGTTTGTTTATAATAAAAAGTAAGGGGGTTCAGGATGCTGGTAAAACTACAAAAGTAAAGCTGTTGTTTCTTCTTTTGAGGGATTCAAGTAAATGTTTTTCAGTATTAGGTACAACCATTCAGAATTTGATACTCATCTCAAATATGAATGTGCTATATTTGCAACATTTGGCTCCTTACATCTTTACTCTGATACCATGGAGTCAAGGCATCTGCTGCTGGTGGATAGAATTTGTGTCTTTAGTTTTCAGTTGGGTTTAATCTAGTAGCCTCATGCTGTGTGGCTATACCAGTCTACCTGAAGGCTAATTAGAACTCTTCCTTTTGGCCTTCTGTAGTTTTGGTTAACTAAATCCACCTAATGCCTGCTAGTACGTTTATTGTGTATCAGTTTTGTACAATGTTATCCTTCTCTGACGTTTCTTTCCTTCTCCTTTAATAAAAAAAATATTAAAATGGGATTTACCTCTTACCAAATATAACAGGTAGTGGTACTTAGATTTCAAACACATTTGCCTTTGACAGAAATTTACAGCCAAACAAATGCATGCAAATCAGGGAACTTACAGCTGTTGCTTACTAATTTGATATTATACATCTTGGAAAGAAGAAAACATTGGCATAAAGCCCCCTGCATTACAAAGCCCTATCTCAGATTTTGGTTTATGCTGGTGGTGCCCCTGTGCATCCCCTTTGTACTACGGCAAGACTCTCCAAGACAGGTCCCTTCTGGTGTTGGTGGCAACAACGAAAATGAAAAATGCAAGAGGTGGAATGACAAGAGATGGGTAGGGAAGATCGAGCATGAAGGATCAGCAACCATGTTATGAAGTTCTCTAGCTCTGGGTTGTAAGATTTAGATTTTTACACTCCCAACTAAGATTGGAAATGTAAGATTAGGTTCCCAGGAGATCAGATCTACACATTGGTTTCATACAAGTAGTTTTTATTTTCGTAACCATTTCTTGGCATTTTACTCATCTGCGTAAATGTTTGGGAGAATGAAAATTAGGACTGCGCACTTCTAGTGTTCTGGGCAAAACACAGGTGAATAATGTCAGGCTCACACATTCGCCGCATATGCTGAAAACAGTTATGTTTTGGGGGAGTACTGTTTTGATAAAAATGGAATGTGCCACATACAAGTTAATGAGGTTTAGAAGTACTCCTACTTATATCTTAAAATCAGCCCTTTTGAACTTTGTGATTACAAAATATTGCAAAATGAAATGGAGTATGAATGCTTCATAAAATAAATGGAATATTCAGCAGCTTACTTTTGGCATTTATAATTAAGATAACATTCTGGTGTGATGCTTTTTGCTGGTGGGGGAGGGGGTGTTTAAAAAAAAACCCCAACTATTGGTGCTGCAGGTTTTATCCCAGCAACATGAGTTTCTATTTATTGTTTACTTTTTCACTGAACTAAGCATTAAGCCCCCAACTTCTAAACAGCTGGGATCCAGCTTACCTGGTTTACTTAAGTAATGTTTTTCAATTTTATGTGTGTGTTGCATAATGTTCCAGTGATAGTTTTCTTTCTAAGTGTATGAAGAACAAAATTTTGGCAGCATGTGAAAATAGATACTGCATATAAGAACGTGTGTCCATTGTTGCTGCTTGTTGTTTGTTATCCCCTCAGCACTATGGATGATTTATCTGGAGGGCAATACATTCAAGTTATGAGTTTATAAATTATTGCTTACAAATTGTGATGATTTTAATGATTCTTAAAGAGTATTAACCACTATTTAAATACTTTATTTTTGGATGGCTGGTATGTGGGAGGCTTCTTGGAGAAAAGGGGCATCAGTAGCTGCTGAGTAGGGGAGTCAGGGGTACAGCCTCTGAATTCGAATATTCCTAGACCTTAAATGCTGGAGGCTGCAAGCAAGGGAGGAACAATGTAAAAACCACTGGTCAAACTCAAGCAGACAAGATTATGTGATATATTTTATTAGACCAACTGAATAATGGTCATACCCAGTTCACTCTCCCTTTCAGCGTCCACTCCCTCCTAATGTGTGACACAGGTTTATTATTACAAGTATAGTTAGGATTACAGTAACTAAAATATCACACACTGGATGCCATCTGCACAAGACACTTTGAACACAGAAGACTAAATCTACTGCATATTACCGCAGCAGGCAAAATGACTTGCCAATGTTCTAGTGCACAGTAGATTTAGTCTAACGTGCAGTAGTGTCATCAAAAAAACCTGTTCATCTGTGCTAATGCGCAGTAGCACTGAATACAGCACATTAAGTTAGTTCCCGTCTAAACTCAACTTGCTGCAACTACGGCGCATTAATGAATGTGTAAATGCACCCGCTGCATTTCATTTGGCTTAGTTGGTGCATCGTTTCACTTGTTTGTGTAGATCTTTGACACAGCATCAACCACAACCCCCACCCCCCAGGGAAACAGGACTGTAAAAACCACAACAGCTGGCAAAAGGATTAAGGGGACAGACTTTGTAGTTATGACGAACTTCTAATTTTTTTTTTTAAACCCAATAGATTTCGCCTGGACCATGTGCTGTGCGACAGGACGCTGGCTCAGTGGGCCTATGGCTTGACCCAGTACATGGGTTATGTTCTTATGTCCTGGCAGCACAGGAGCAGGTTTAGATGCTTGATTCACCTCCGGCCACAAGCAGCTGGTCACCAAAAGCCCATTACTTTCTGATGGAGAGGGGGCAGTGTCCTGAAAGGAAGGGGCAGGGAGGCACAGGTCCCAGTCCTGCTATTGCTGAGGCGCAAACAGCTAGAAGGCAGAGAAGCAGCTGGGGAAAGGGGAGCAGCTTCTGTCTTCAGCAGTGAAGCTGCGGCCAAAGGGAGCGCTGCCAGTGAGTGCCTTCAGGGGCAAGGACCAGGCTCCAGAGAGAGACGCTGGAGCAGGGGCAGCTCCTCGCCTTGCAGCGGTGCTGTGGCTTCATAGTGGGAAGCCACCTTCCCCTCGGCGCTGAAATCAGGGCGGGGAGAGGGGAAAGCGCCAGTGTCCTCCGCGGTGCGGATCGGAGCGCCCGCATGCACGCGCAGCCCCGCCCCGCCCCGCCCGCCTTTTCCGAGCCTCCTTCATCCCCGAGCGAGGCCGCCAGAAGTTATCACATCTATCTAAGCAGGCAAGGGTTTGTTTTTTTGGGGGGGTGAGTGTGCTGTCTTTTACTAGACCAACTAACTAGCTCCTCACATGCTTTGGAGGAGGCCAACTGCCTCGGTGTGTTTGCATGGGCAAGTGTTACAGGTTACAGTTGTCTTCTTGGAGTGAAGAAGCAGCATCTGCCTTCACCCCTCATTCTTCCCTCAGTTGCTAACAGTTTCCAGGGCAGGTTGTGGGCTTTTGGCTGAACAAGTTTCATGCAGTTGACTTCCACCTTGGCCGTTTGGTGCTTCGTCTGCTTGGTTCTGGTGCTTTGGGGTGTCTCTGTTTCAGTGTTTATCGCTTCTTTCTGTGCACGGTTGATTATGCGGTCTGTAGCCACAGCATGCTGCTGGTTGGTAGAAAGGGCAGGTATGGCCAGTACTTGCACCAGATGTTGCTTATAAGGTAACATGCCAGATGTGTGTGTTCTGCACAGAGTCCAAAGCCTGCTGGAGTGAATGGTGGGACTCCTATTGACTTCAGTGAGTTCAGAATAGACCCTAATCCTAGGTCAAATTATGCTCTCTGTTCTCAAATTATCATTGTGTGAATAAGACCACTAACATTTGATCCAAGATGGAGCTAAACTGGAGACCAGGCAGAAGCTAAAGATCCCTTTCAAGCTGATGAGTGTTTGTTTGTTTGTAGTAGAAGCAGGGCTTATCCAGAGCTTATTGAAGTCAAGGGAAATTCTGTCATTGTGTTCGCTAGGCTCTGGATCGGGACATCAGGTCTTCCCAGAGCCAGGTCCATGACAAAGCTAGAATATCATGCAACCTGCAGCTATATTGATATCAGCTGGGAATATTCATGTTCATTATTTAATTTTCCCTTCATCTTATCTAAAACGGACTAACATACTTTTGTTTTGAAGCCATTGAGATTCAGAAACGAAACAGGTGCTGTGAGTCTAAAAGATTCTTACCATATGGACCAAGCAATTCTTCTGCTGTGTTTATTAGAATCTGTATTTCAGGTAAGAAATATTTTTCCTTTTTTGAATAAGAGATTGTAATTGAAATGAATTAAACTATGATATCTGGTTAGGCAATGATTATCATTCTAATATTAAAAATATATCATGATTTCTAGTAACTGCTATACAGCCCCAGCCTCATTGCTATTGAAGTAAGCAAGAGTTCTGCTGTTCTCTTTAATAGGAGCATGCCATAAGTGGGTCCTATGAAAGGTGGTGAACTGGAGTCCAAGAACTTGGACCTGAGCCCACTGTTGGCAGTAACAAATCTCATGTATTTCAATGGGGATAAGATGCTAAATGAAGTTCAAGGTCATAGAATCAGAGGGAATCATAGAAGTCGAAGGGGATGTCAAGGTCCGTTCCCATATACAAATTCAGGATTTGGTATTCATAAACCATCCCTTATAAGTATCCAACCACTTCTTGAAAATTTTCAGTCAAGGAGATTCCACAAGTTCCTTAGGCAGCTTATCCCATCACCCTACTGTTCTTCCAGTTAAGATTTGTTTTGGATTTTGAGATTTGCTGTTGTTGTGTGCCCTGCCTTTTGTGGCAAGGGTAAACAAGGTTTCTGTCTTCTTGAATGTGGTATTTTGGATGTTTGAAAACTGTTATGTCCCCCCTTAATCTGCTTTGTTCCAAATTAAACAGGATTAGTTCACTCAATCTTTCTTCACATTGACATTCTTTCTAAGCCCTTCATCATATTTAGTTGCCTCTAGATCCTTTTCACTTTCTCTGCATCTTTCTTACAACCCTGTGCCAAAATTCTGATTCTCCGTAGAGTGGGCTATCATCTTCCCTGTTTTACATGCATTTGCTTTCTTGTGACAGCATCCCATTGCCAACTCATACCATGATTTACCGTAGCCCCCACATCCTTCTCAGCAGTATTACTGCTAACCAGTTGTTCTCCCTTCTGTAGCTGCACATTTGTTTTTTCCTTCTTCCCCAGGCTTAGCACCTTACTTTTGTCTTTGTTGAATTTCATTTTGTTGAATATTGTCCAGTTTGCTAATTCTAATATAATAAAAGCCTTAGTCTGTCTATTTGTAATGCTTTATTTCCACTCTGCTTGATTGTCTGAGACAACCAATTAGAGTGTGAGCGTTTAGACATGAGCTGGTGACCACGGAGTTGGGGGCGATGCCAGCGGTGCTGGCCTTGCCCCCTATGGCCTGAGGTGACAGTGGCAACTGAGAGGGTGCTGAGGTGAAAGTGGCTTCCGAATATGGAGCCACAGCACTGCTGCAAGGCAAGGAGCTTCCCCTCCCCCTGCTTCAGCTGCGAGCAGGGCAGCATCTCTGGAGATGAGGAATTGGAGCCTGGTCCTTTTCCCCTGAAGTCACTGGCAACACTCCCTTTGACTGCAGCTTCTCTGCTGAGGAGAGAAGCTCCCTACATGATCAGATCCCAATTGCAGTTGACCATCATCTGATCAATGCTTCCAGCATCAAGAGCACACTGAAGTCAAAGGTTTTGACTTAGACTTTTCTGACTCTGATTTTAGATCTTCCCTGAAACTCAGTGTTGGCTCTGCTATCTCTGGTTTCCCTAGCATTCTGACTCAGCTGATCCTGATCTCAGATTCTCCTTGGAACTTGGCCCTGGCTCTCTAACCCCTGGCTCCTGACCTTGGCTTATGTCTCGGATTATGTCTCTTGGATCTTCCTTTTTAGTTCGCCTGGAATTGGGTCCCATGCTCCCTGTTCCATTGACCCAGGCCCCAACCTGATGATTTGGTAATTTATGCCCCCATTCTGCTGAGGCGCAGCTGCTTATGTGCTGGCCAAACCCTCACATCTTCCTTTCCTTAGATCTTTCTCTCTCTCTTTCTTCATGGTGACAAGTTTGCAAGACAGAACAGCTACTGTCATTTGTAGATTTGAAGTATGAACTGTTTCTTGGAAGGTTTGTCAGTTATAAGTGATACTAGGAAATTGCCCATCAAGAACAACAGGTGGGGACAGAGGGCTGCATCTGCTGCACCCCCCCCCCCCCCC